TAAAACTAAAAATAAAATCTTAAAAAAAAAAAAAGCCTCACTACATAGCCTTGGTTGGCCTGGAACTCAGAGAGATCCTCCTGCTTCTGCTGCCCAAGCTGAGGTTACAGGCATACTCCACCAGGCCCATCTCATGTTCCTATACTTTCTTCTTTCTCTTCCCCTTCTCACCTTTCAAGGTTTGGCTAAGATGTAACAGGGTTGTTGTAGAGACACTGGTCTCTGGTTTAGGAAATCCTGGAGATAATAATCACATACAAGTCTTCAAATTGGATCTGATCATTGCCATGAACCTGTCAGCTACAATGGCTCTCTAAACCAATGAATTCTATTCACTAGCAGGTCAAAAATAGTCTGGCTGGGCATGGTAGCACACGCCTTTAATCCCAGCACTGGGAAGCAGAGGCAAGATCTGAAAACAGCCAAAAGCATATTGAGCAGTGCCCAGCACACAGATGGCACAGGTTAACCTTCCCCCTCCTTTTTCCTAACTTGAATATTAGTAACTGGCCTCAAGAAGATGAGGCTGCTTGCCTGGGGTCCCAGTGAAACTGGTAGTGAGATTCTGTCCCTGCAGAGTCAGGCCATGTAGCACTGCTCTTCCGTGTTATGGCATGCAATGGTGTCTGTCACTGGGCTCCTAGTTTTAACACTGTCACATATTTATGTGCAGTTTTGTTCAACTGATGGAAAGCTAGAATTATTCTGGAGCCTAGATACCATTTTATCTAAAACTCTTAATACAATTGCAACATGAACAGAAGAACAGGTTTAGGAATGACGCCCACTATAGCATTAAGGCTGCACTGGAAGCAGTGGAGACTGCTGGAAACCTCACAGGAGGAGGGAAACACCGGCACAGTCATTAACACGGGTGGAGACTCAGAGCGACACCACGCCAGAGCTAGAAATGGGCTTGTTCTTATGGATGAATGTCACAGTCATTGTTTAGGAGCAGAGTGGGCTTCTCAACAGCTTTTAGGGGGTTCTGTCATTCCCTGTTGGTAATGTTCCGGGATCAGTACTTACCACTGAGGAAGTGGCAATTACCAAGATAAGCAGGAAAAGAAGCACGACAGGTGTTTTCTCCCCACAGCTTTCCAGAGTCACAATGCTTTCCAACTAAGCACATATTATGGAAGGAGCTTTATACTACGGGCTATTTCACTCTTCTGTGACAACCTTATTATACATTGTTTTTGAACTATTGTTCATTCTCTTGGGGTGCATTTTAAAATTTTGTACAGAACTCTGTAAACTCATTGAAAAGGTCTGAAAGGAAAAAGACCATATCTAAAGGCTATGAAAGGACACTAATGACCAGAGACCAAGAGGATGGGATTCATCATGTGCCTCATGCACCTTCAGTTGCCCTAATGACGACCTGCTAGGCTGACTCTGGGAGCACACACCTGTAATTGGGAGTGGGAGACCTGAGGCAGAGGGACTGCTGCCTGGACACATTACATTGTAAATGTCTCAAGAAAAAAAATGTATTTTAGATGTTCTGGAGACCTAAGGTTTCTAAGGAAAACCAAAAACACTTCAAGGCTTCAACTTTATGTGCTTCCTACTGTTGATCTGACACAAAGCCCCAGAAAACACACCTCCCAAGTGCAGGGATTAAAGGTGTGTGCCACCACTCCTGACTCAGTATTTTCTAATTACAAGGCCCTATTTTCCCTATTTCCTATGTGTAGTTTTTGTATGTGGGTTACGGTACTCTCGAATATACAAATCCTCAAATTTCAATCAATTTATAGCAATAATGCCTTTAAAAGTCTAGTCCAAGAGACTCCCAAAATTACACAGGCTATTGCCACAGCCCTTAATTGCCTTCCAGAACTTGAAGATAAGACCCTACTCCTGAGGACAGGACATACTTCAGACAAAGGATTTGGAGCAATGGAGCTGGAACTGACCTGGAAGCCACCTCCCCTAAATGCTGGCTCTCATAGCTTTGGAGAGCACTACACAAGCTGGTAAGGGAGAACATCAATCCCAGCTTCAAGGCCTAAAAACCACATCCATGACCAGCACAGCATACGACATTGGTGAGGCAGTGGCACTTTTATCTTGGGAGTAATCAAAACAGCTACCTAATTGGACTTAAAGCCCACTCAATAGGAGGAAACTCATGCCTGGTACCATAAACGTAGCCAAAGAAACGAAACTGGAGAGATCATAGATCTTAGAGAAAATGCCAAAGCTCTCATATCCCTAGACAAATGCAATTTCTTACTATGTGCAAAATATGGATCCTTAAATCTACAGACAAGTATCCCAGTCACCACCCATCAAAGTAGCTTTATTACAGACAGAGATTATTACAGGGTTACACCACTTGTCACACAGAGATTGTCTGTGAATTGCCCAAGCCTAAGTGGCTCATCTAGGATGCAACCTCTATACCTAAGACTCACAGAACATAGAACAAGGGATGAAGAGAACACTAATGCACCTTTCAATTCTCACCAATGAAGCTCCCTCATGCAATAGAGGGCCAGGAACACAAAAGGACACAAATGGCCAAAATACAGAGAATAGGAGTCAGCATGGTGTGGGTCCTTGGATCTCCTATACTGAGGTCCACCCACCCAGGGCTCAGTGACCAGTGCAGAAGAGGGGGCAGAAAGATTGTAAGAGCCACCAAAGGAAGTATATGACCATACAGAAATGGTCCTACAGGTGCCTGGGACCCTTCTCATACAAACCTACAGCAATAGTGTCAGCATGTACAACACCCATGCAAACTTAGACAAAAGCCCAGCACAGAACTGTAGAAATGAAGAGTAAGCCCCATTCTTAGTTGAAGAATTATTGGCAGCTGATTACTGCTGGGTGAGGAAGAACTGATCTTGAAGGGAGAGACTCTAGATAGGCTGACTAAACCCTGATGGATGAACTTGCAATGAGGGACATCTTGGAACACTAACTTTACATAATAGGCCTTAATACAAATGACAGTATGAACTCCAGTCGGGGGAGCTATGAGAGGGTATCAAAGGGGAAGAGGGTATAAAGATGATTTTATGTATGAAATACACAAAAATTCAATCTTTTTTTTAAAGTCTATAAATGAAAAGAAAATTAATTTGAAATGGCCCTGGTGGTTCACTTCATTTTCCCAACCAGATCCACTATTCCCGGAACATTACACAATCAGGCACTGTACTCAACTGTTCAAAGAAGGCTTTTCAAACCATGGCAGCCAGCTCATTTGCTCCAAGCCAAAACTAGAATAGGAGAACTCCATGTAGTTTAGGGCATATTAAGGGTGTGTAGTCTGGTGCATGGTCTATTTTTAGAAGTTATACTGAGAAACTTCCTTTGTGAATACATGTCTGAAAATAAAATAGAAGAGTAACTACATAACTTATCTCATGCTTAAAATAGCTCTGTACAACAAGAACAAGGTAATGTCTTCCCAAGAGCCTGTAGTCATTTTAACTCTTAGTATCCAGTATCAAAGGCTTATTTCTACATTCACACACAAATCACTAAAGGGATTTCTTAAAGACTGCATCGCTTATTTTCAAATACAATTTTTCTTTTTCTTTTTAGAAACAAAGCCTCATTCTGCAGCCCAGGATGGCTTGGAGCTCATTACGTAACTCAGGCTGGCCTTGAACTCACAAAGATCCCCCCTGCTTCAGCCTCATAATAGCTGAGATTACAAACATGAGCTACCACACCAAACTAACTAATGCACTGAAGTCTTTAAAATTGCAAAAAATCACACTGGAAAGAATAAATGTTAAGATACTGGCAGAGACCCCCAAGGAATGCTAACCTTCAACTGGAACAGCTCTAATACACTACAGCTCTAAGATAACTCTCGGATATGATATTGGCAGGGGGATAACACCCACCAGCAGTTCTGCCGCCCCAGAAAGTAAAAGCCTGTCAATATTAATCGACACTTAATGACTTGATATGCTTACAAAATAATTAGTAAACAATGCTGCTGCACCTATGTATTTCTGTCAAGAAAAATAACATGGGGCTGCAGGGACAGCTAAGTGTTTATGTAACCCCTGGGTTCAATCCACAACACCACCAAAAAAAAGAGAACTATGTTTCCACTGCCAGGCACAAATCTTTTTTTTTTTTTCCGAGCTGAGGATCAAGGGCCTTGGACTTGCTAGGCAAGCACTCTACCACTGAGCTAAAATAAATCCCCAACCCCTCAAATATTCTTAACCTTTGATTTAAATTTTTGGGGGATGAGAGGAGTGTAGATGTTCTTCACCTCAGACATGTTTGCTAAGGAAGAACAGAAGTTCCTGGATAAAAAAGAGAACTTCCTACTTTCCAGGACTCTTCCCAGCTCTAACCTACAGAGAAAAAGCTAGACACAATTCTTCAACTAGCAAGATCAACCAGGGGGCCCTGGGTAACTGCTCTTATTTTATGCCCAATATATCACAGAAAACTTATTATTCCCACAACAAGGTGAAATGAAACAGACCACATTATACAGCTTTCTAACAACTCCCATTCTTGTCTTTCCCCACACCAAACTGGGGACTGAATGAAGGCTTTGTGTGCATAAGGAAAATGCTCTACAACTAAGCTACAGCTCACCTTCTGTTCCTGTCTTCAAGGATTCAGATGATGCCTCTGCATCTTAACACACTTGAAACCAAGAAGATGCCTGCCAAGAAAGCTCTCGATGGCTATGTTTACACTGGTAAGTGCAAGGGTTTCACAGAGCCCATACTAAAACTTAGCTCTAGGTGCTGCTTGGAAATTTGAAGGTAAACATAAATTAAGTTCCAAAAAAGACTTGAGGCCACGTGCAATCAAGGGTGAAAAGTAGTTGCTCTGACGGAAAAGCTACAACTGCAATGACATCATGACCGTAATATTTACACAATTTAAGCCTGCCCATAAACGAAGAGCTTTAACAACATGTGTTTCAAAGCGAAGGAAGATCCAAGCTGAAGACAGGAACGTACCCACTCTAAAGCCCAGCCCACACAGCCACGATGTCTTACCTTTTCAGGTCAACAGTTGTGACGCTAAATACAACTCCTTTCAGCCAAAGAATCATGAAGAGCCTCTGAGAAAAAGGGCAGTTTCCTATGCTTTCACCATCACTGCCAGCCTGGAAGCAGAATTCAACATTTTAAAAACAAGGTCAAAATGATGACATTTGCAGGTCAGTGCTTCCTACAAATTCTAATCAGGGACCTTAACAGGGTGCAAAGGAGGGTGGAAGTCTGCCTTAATGATTTTGGTCTTTCCTTTGCCTCAGTTTCTTCTTAGAAATGATCAGTTCAGTAGAGCACTGTCCTAGAGGCCTTTCTGCAATGGTGAAACCTTTATGGCCACCTTCCAATGTGGCTGCCAAAGCAGCTTCTGGCTGATGGGTGTTTAAATCAGGCTACTCCCAAAGTACTGAAGTTCCTTTACTTACCTTTAAAAGCCACACGTGGCTAATGGTTGCTATGCTGAGCACTGCATTCATCCATAAGTGACCCAGATACCTCTGACTCAGAGCAAAGGCAAAAGTCTGTGAAACTCATTTTTGTTCTGACAGTAATCTTTGTGTGTATGAGTGTATTGCTTGCATGTGTGTAAGTGCACCCATGTCGTGCCAATGCCGGTGAAGGTCAGAAGAGGGTGTCAGATTCCTCTGGAACTGGAGTTACAGACAGTTGTTAGGACACCACGTGGGTGCTGGGAATTGACCCAGGGTCCTCTGCAAGAGCAGCCAGTGCTCTTAACTGCTGAGCCATCTCTCCAGCCCTGACAGTATTCTTTTCTGGTTTTTTTTTTTTTTTTTTGGTTTTTTTTTTTTTTTTTGGTCTTTTTTATTTTGAGACAGGGTCTCCCGGTAGTCCAGCTGATCTGAACTCACTATGTAGACCAGGCTGGACTTGAACTCACAGAGATCCACCTGCCTCTGCCTCCCAACTGCTGGACTACAGACGTGCAACACCACGCCCAGTGAAATGTATTTTTTTTCTAATTTAAAATACTAATAGTTTTTTTGTCCGTAAGAAAATACACAAAATTTGTAGCAAGAATGAAGCATAAAGTCCCAAATTTTGCAACTTGTAGAAGAATGTACTTTAACTGGGCATGGTGGTACACACCTTCAATCCCAGGTCTCCAGAGACAAGTGGATTCTGTGAGTTCAAGGCCAGCCTGGTCTACATAGCAAGCTCCAGGCCAGCTGGGGCTACAGGGAGATCCTGTCTCAAAAAGACCAAAAAATTAAAAAATAATCCAAGGAACAGGCTAGTGAAATGGCTCAATGGGTAAGTTTTGCTGTGCAAGCCTGACAACTTGAATTTGATCCCAAAAACACATGTAAAAGTGGAAGGAGAGCCGGGTGTGGTGACACACGCCTTTAATCCCAGCACTTGGGAAGCAGAAGCAGGTGGATCTCTGTGAGTTCAAGGCCAGCCTGGCCCACACAGTTCCAGAACAGCAGAGGCTACAGGGAGATCCTGTTTCCAAAACACCAAAAAAAAAAAAAAAAAAAAAAAAAAAATGGAAGGAGAGAACCAAATACATAAAGTTGTCCTCTGACCTTCATACACATGCCATGGAAGTGTGTGTGACACATACACATACACACACACACATCCCACCCACATCATATACATATAACAGTAGTAAATCGAAATTTAATAACAAAATGAGGGGGACTTAAATGGAGGGTATCACACATCTTAGGAGGTGGGACCTGTAGGAGCCTTAGGTTACTGAGGGCACGCCACTAACAGGATTACAAGACATCCATCTCTTCTTTCTGCTTCCTGCCAGAGGTGAGCAGTTTGTTTTACCATATACCCCAGCCACTGCCATCCTGTTTCTGCACCAGAGGCCCAAAGAAATGAATCTAAGCTGGGCATGGTAGCACACTCCTTTAGTCCCAGGACTGGGGAGGCAAAAGCAGGTGGATCTCTGTGAGATCGAGGCCACCCTGGTCTACATATAGTCAGCCAGTTCCAGTCACAGGGAGACCCTGTCTCAAAAAAATAATCTTTAAAAATAAAATTAAATACTTCTTTTATATCTCATGCTTATGTCATCCATCTGCCACTCTGAAGGGTTTTACTGTATGCTAATTGGCTCAGCAATTTTACAACTAAAACTCATCCTGTTAGAAACACATTGATGATGGGGGCTGGAGAGATGGCTCAGCAGTTAAGAGCACTGGCCGCTATTGTGAGACAGGGGTGCAGTTCCCAGTACCCACATGACAGCTAACAACCATCCATAACTTCAATTCCAGGGGAATCCAACACCTTCTGACCTCTGCAGGTATTGCCTTACACAGTGCACTTACACACATGCAGGAATACATTCATACACATAAAATAAAAATATTAAAAAACATATTGATATCTGAACATATCAAGTACAAAGGATACTAAATAAAGCACTGTTTGTAACAGCAAAACGCTGAACACCAGCCAAACTCATCAGTAAAAGATCTGTTAATTTACAGACCACCTCAAGAAAGCAGAAATCTAAGCCATGCACTGGGCTTGGGCCTTAGTTGTCATGATGGAGGGGAGACCAAGGCACAGTTTTTTGTTTTCTGTGAAGTAGGTATTGTCTAAACAATTTGTCTAGGTTAGGCTTCCTTTTCTAGATTCTTTGAGTAGAGGGACCAGGATTCTCTTGCAGTTTATTTCGGGGTTCTTTTGTGTTTTGTTTTGTTTTGTTTTTGTCTGTGGTTTAACGGCCAGACTCTTTCATTCCAAATCTAGGGTGTATAAGACAAAGAGTAAAAAAGAAAGAAAAAGCTGGGCATGGTGGTGCAAGTCTTTAATTCTAGCAGAGGCAGGCAATGGAGGCCAACCTGGTCTATACAACCAGTTCCAGGACAGCTGCGGCTACAGGGAGACCCTGTCTCAAAACAACAAAAAGAATACAAAAGAAACTCTAACATCTATTCTATCATCACAGAAGCAAAAGTCTTTCAAACGAATTACATTTATAAAGAAAAGTAAAATATATGACTTCAGTTAATAGCCATATAGAACACTGTTCAACAACAAAAACAAAAAAAAATGAAGACACCCCAGGACTTGGGAAACTAAGGCAGGAGGATCGTCATCTTTTTTTTTTTTTTTTTTTTCTATATGTATGCGTGTATTGCCTGCATGTAGGTAAGTGCAACCATGTTGTGCAATGACCAAGGAAGTCAGAAGACGCTGTCAGATCCCCTGGGACTGGAGTTACAGACAGTTGTTAGCTGCCAGTTACAGACAGTTGTTAGCTGCCACATGGGTGCTGGGATTCGAACCTGGGTCTTCTGCAAGAACAATTAGTGTACTTAACCGCTGAGCCATCTCTCCATCCAGCCCCGAGGATCACTTCTTTTTTTTTTAATATTTTATTATTTTTATTTTATATATATGCATGTATTGCCTGTATGTAGGTAAGTGCACCAGTCTTGCAATGCCCGCGGAGGTCAGAAGAGGGCGTCAGATCCCCTAGAACTGGAGTTATGGACCAGTTATCAGCTGCCATGTGGGTGCTGGGATTTGAACCCTGATCTTCTGCAAGAACATTCAGTGTTCTTAACCACTGAGCCATCTCTCCAACCTCAAGGATCATCTTCTTAAAAGTAGAAAATCCAAATAAAGAGTAATCCCACTGACAGAAATAACCACAAAATTTAGATAAAGAAAGAATCTCAGCTGGGCATTGTAAAACATTATTTTTAATTCCAGCACCCAGGAGGCAGAGGCAGGTGGATATCTGCGAGTCAGCCAGAGCTACACAATGAGTCAACAACTAAGTAAGAAGTAATGTCAGCCAATGTAGTGGCACATGTCTGTATTCACAGCACTCAGGTTGAGGAGTCAGGAGGACGATTAGTTCAAGGTCAACTGAGAGTACATATACATAGCAAAACCCTATTTGGGAGCAAAAAAAAAAAATTTTTTTTTGAGGCAGGTCTCCCTGTTGTTGAGATTAAAGCCATGCACTACCGCATCTGGCTAAAAGGGTTAAAAAAGAATGAATCTTAGCATTCATCTTAGTTTCTTCTTCTGCAAAGGGTATTTGCTTTATTTGCAGCCTGGCATTTCTCTCACAAGCTCACTATCCTCACTCTCCGCTAGGCCTCAGTTGTAATTCTGCAATTGCCCAATACTAGTATTTAATTAGAAACCACTGATTAACTCTCACATTGCAGAACAGGGGTCAGCGGCAGATGCCATAAATGTTTTACTAAGTCAAGGTTAAGAAACTGCTCACTTAGAAAACCTAGTTTAATTAGTCTTTAGGCTAGTCAGTTTTTAAAATACCTAAAAAGGAGAGCTGTAACTTCATTCCTCTCTTTGTTTCATGGCTCCAGTGGTGAGGGGTGACAGGGACTAGAGAAGACAGAAAGAAATTGGGACCTGAATGTAGGAACCGTCGTCCCTCACGATTCAATTCAGAGCAATGTGTTATGAAAAGAGTAACTTAAAAATTCAATAGGCAAGCTAGGCGTGGTGGCGCCTGTAGTCCCAGTACTTGGGAGGCAGAGGCAGGAGGATCTCTCTGAGTTCAAGGCCAGCCTGGTCTACATAGTGAGTTCCAGGACAGCTGGGGCTACAGGGAGACCCTGCTTCAAAAAAAAAAAAAAAATTCAATACACCATTTACCTTTAGTACGGGTTCGTTTGATCTAGATTAGTTGCCGAGGACATGTGGAGGCATACACCTGAAATCCCAGAATGCAGGAAAGATTGAGGCAAGAGGAATGAAGAGTTTCAGGCTAACTTGGACTATGTAGTAAATTTGAAGCCAACCTGAAATGAACCTGTTTGAACTCAAAAACAAAACAGGGAGGGAGGATCAGCTGTCTGAACACTACTAAGAACAACTTGCTTTGATTTAGATTTACTTACAAGTCACAAACCAACAGGGTAATGAGTCACTTGACTTCTATTAACCCATCTTAAGACTTTTCTTCAACATATACTGGAACTACAGGTCTGGAGTCTTAAGAAGCTGCCTTTCCATTGGGTCTGCAGAGTACACAGGAATATCAAAGTTTGGAATCGGGCACATTTGGGTTTGAATACTGACTTCATTACTTAGTTAGCTGTGCAATTTTCAGTAAGCTGTTTAACATCTGTGAAAGCTGACTCAATACACGATAGGGAGAAGCTGGAATAGGATACCCATAATGCCCAGCACATGGTAAGCGTTTAGTTTCTGAACTTTAAAAATACTTCCTGTACAGACCTCAAGGTCTGAGCAGCAGCACTAGCTGAGCGGCAGGGCATTTGGCTGGCATGCACAACATCCTGGGTTCAAACCCAGCAACAAGAGAAGAAAAAGAACACAAGGTGTTGGGGAACTCTGCTGCTAAGGTTATAGTCCACCATGTCCGGATAGCTCTAAGGGGCCCGGCGCTATATGGAAGGACTCCCTTTCTCAGCGGGGGCCTCCTGCTCTCTGCCTGACTTACCTGGAAAGTGCCACCAAGCACGGATGCCTGACCTTATTTGGAACATAACCTTTGGCATAGTTACCAGCAATAAAACTGCCCCCAGGTTTTCTCTATATGATAATTAGGCATTGCCCTATAGTTGGATGATAGGATCCCCCTACCACATGTAAATAAAGCATACTATGAGCACCTATCAGCTGAAGCTTTGGCTGCTGCCCCCACACTATATTTTCCCTGACCCCCACTGAATAAATGGAGCTGTATCACTGAATCTGACTCCCCGGAAAGTCTTTTCCGGCGTGCTCACTGGCCGTCCTGACCCCGTTCGTCACTTCTGCTCCCTTTGTCCTTGTGGGAGAGACCCACAACAAGGCCTAACAAAGCCTTCCATCCAAGTACTCAGTCATTAAACTCACTAGATTTCTCGTCTTTCAGAAAACAAAACAGAAAGAATCTAATTGCCTTCCACATTAAGGTCTTTCAACTGGCACTGTAACTCTGTGCTTTAAGAAATACTCTTTGAAGCCGGGTGTGGTGGTGCACTCCTTTGATCCCAGCACTCTGGAGGCAGGGGCAGTAGGCAGTCAGGTCTCTATGAGACCAAGGCCAGCCTGGTCTACATAGTGAGTTCCAGGCCAGGTGGGGCTACAGGGGGACCCTATCTCAAAAAGCCCAAAAAAGAAAATTCTCTATGTAGGGTCGGTGAGAAGGCTCAGCAGGCAAAAGCACTTATAGCACAAGCTTAGAGATCCAAGTTCAATCTCCAGGACCCACATAAAGGTAGAAGGACAGAATTTATTCCAAAGCTGCCCTCTAACCTCTATACATACACAGTGGCATGTACATACACCCCTACTTATCATTAAATAGAGAGATAAACAACTATATAATTGAGTTCAGTAATTGGAGTGAAACAAAAATATCCTCCTTTACTTAAGATGTCAAAAATCTCTGGCCATGTGCAGCCTGTATCGTTTCCTGGACCTAACCATATCACAGCACTATAATTTGAAAAACAAAGTCAAATTACACAGTATGGAAGGATTCCTGCATCCCCAAGCTCTCCCTACAACGGAGCTTTGCAGACTTCAAGTGCCCCATTTCCTTGCTCAGCATCACCTGCTCCTAAAGCCTATGTCGCTGAGTAAAGAGGTGAATCCTCTCAAATCATGCACAACCAACTCTAGGGCAGCACACAGAGCGTTTAACCCCAAAGATGAACTCTGCTCTCGCAAAGCAAGCTCTTCATGTTAATCTAGTTAATACTTCTATCAGCTCACTCAGCAGAGGACAGTGGTTAAGAACACTCATCTAGAGTCAGATTCTCAGCAAACCTCACCACTTCCTAGCCAAGTGACTGAAAATGTAATTTAGCCTCACTGGACTATTTTCCTCTTCTATGACTGTACCACAGGAACTGAACAGCTAACATACATGAAGAGCTAGAGCAGCATCAGGCTTTAAAGTCAGGGACAGGGAGGCTGTTGTTCATTGTATCCCCTTTCTTACTTTTCAGTATTTACAGTACATGTACAATACATACACATAATAAATAAATAATTTAAATATATATATTTACAATACAGGCATGACTCTTTCATTTAAAAGCAAACAAAAAACCTTCCCAGCCAAAATACATTAAAATAAAGTAAAAAAGTTTTATAAAGAATGTGGAAAAACTGTGGAGATGAAGGAAATTTATGTAACAGAAGTACATAGGAGTAGAACTCTAAAATATCTAAAAGAATAAAAATCTTCAAGGAAGTAGATTTAAATGCAAATTACCAGAGCCCATCTCCAGATCCTCTGATTCAGTCCATATGGGGCAGGTGGTCTGAAAATCTGCAATTTTTACAAAACATTTCTAGCAAATCAAATTCTCATGTATTTGGTGAGTATGTGTTTACATAAATGCTGAGAGAGAAAAATATGCAAAAAAAAGAAAATCAAAATTGGAAAGAATTTGTTCCATGTTTTAAGTTTGAGTTCTCTTCGGACTCTGTTCTTTATAAACCAGTAACTGATAGCTGTTTGTTAGGGTCAGATTTGGTATTTAACAGCTTCTTCCCTCCCATTAAAAGAATGAATGCTACCATATCTTGCCTTAAACTAAGACACACCAGAACTTAATCTGAGCCAGTTTATAGCCTCATAAGACTACCTAGGCAGTCACATTCAAAAACATTTATTTCACAAAAACTAAGTAGCAGAGACAAGTATGTTCTAATGCAAAACCAGTATTCCACTATCAGCACTTCTAAGAGTTTGTCTTGAGACCAAATTTTATGTCAAAGACAACTTTGGTAACCCAAAGTCCTTTAGAGATCAAATATGTGGGACTGAGGAGCAACTTCAGGAGCCTGGGGGCTTTGCCCAGCGGTGGAGCCCTTGCCCAAGCAATTATAAGGCAAGCTCTGGCTTTGGTCCCCAGCACCCGAAAAAAAAACTACAAATTTTTATTACAATATGATACTACTAAGGGGCTGGAGGGATGGCTCAGTGGTTAAGAGCACTGGCTACTCTTGCAGAGAACCTGGGTTCAATTCTTAGCACCCACATGGCAGCTAACAACCGTCTGTAACTCCAGTTCCAAAGGATCTGATGTCCTCTTCTGACCTCCGTGAGTAGGCGCAACATGGGTACATTTACATACATGCAGGCAATACACTCATAAAATAAAAATACTAAATAAAATATTCTTTAAAAGGCCAGGCATGGTGACACATGCCTTTTAAATCCAGCACTTGGGAAGCACAGGCAAGTGAAATCTCTGAGTTTGAGGCTAGCCTGGTCCACACAGTGAGTTCCAGGCCAGCTGGGGCTACAAGGAGACTCTGTCTCATCACCAAAAAAAATTCTTTTAGCTGGGTGTGGTGGCACACGCCTTTAATCCCAGCACTCAGGAGGCAGAGGCAGTCAGATCTCTGCTAGTTCAAGGCCGGCCTGGTCTACATAGTGAGTTCCAGGACAGCTGGGGCTTCAGGGAGACCCTGTCTCAAAATAGACAAAAAAAAAAAAAATTCTTTTAAAATATTATACTAGGGGACTGGAGAGATGTCTCAGCGGTTAAGAACACTGACTGTTCTTGCAGAAGACCTGGGTTCAAATCCCAGCACCCACATGGCAGCTAACAACTGTCTGTAACTCCAGTCCCAGGAGATCTGACATCCTTTTCTGACCTCCAAGGGCACTGTACAACACAGGTGCACTTACCTACATGCAGGCAATACACGTATACATATAAAATAAATATTTTTTAAAAAATTAAAAAAAAAATTATACTACTCAAAGTCTTTTCTTGAGTAGAGGTTTGAAAGGGAAATGTCCCCCATAGGCTCAGTATTTGAATACCTGGTCCCCAGCTAGTGGTACTGTTTGGGGAGGTAGCCTTGCTGAAGGAAATATGTCATTAGGTGCAGGCTTTAGGAGGTCACAGCCTCACCCCACTTCTAGTTCACTCTCAGCTTCCTGATCCAGCCACCTGCTGCCATGTGTTCCCCACTATGATGGAATCGTAAACCAAAATAAACTCTGCCATTAGTTGCTCTTGGTCTTGATATTTTAGCACAGCAACAGAAAAGTTACAGATACAGCTTGTCAGAAAGAAAAAGGATTCTGTTGTGATCTTAGGGACTAGGACCAACGCCTGACTTCCTAAATAGGCTACATTTTCCATTTAGAAGCTACCTAACCATGGGCAAGTCACTTAATCTCTTTGGGTTTTTGTTTTCTATTCCAGGAAGAAGTGGGGAGGGAGAGACCGACTTACTAATGTTGATAGCGCACTGTAACAATTTTAGAATACAAAATATATCCCCATTTTTAGGAAGTACACATTGAAACAGGGGTAGTGTCACAATGAATGCAACAAAGTAAATGAAGTAAAATGTCAGACAAGAGGTCAATAAAGTATTGTTAAACTGTTCTTATTCTGACAGCTCAGTAAGTTTAACATTATTTCCAACTGAAGTTGTTATTTAGGTGCTAGAACTCAAACTCAGGCCCTCTGCAAGAACAGCCCATGTCCAAGACAGGTGTGGTGGTGCACATCTTTAATCCCAGCACTTGGGAGGCAGAGATGGGTGGATCTCTGTGAGTTCAAGATCAACCTAGTCTAGTTCCAGGCCAGCTAGGGCTACAGAGAGACCCTGTCTCAAAAAGACCCCCCCCAAAAAAACAAACAAACAAACAATTTAAAAAAAAAAACTTTTTCGAAGGAAACGAGGCCCCAGCAACTCACCATGCAGTCCAGGCTGGCTTGCTGG